AAGGCTCTCCTGTAATACGATTTAGAAATGATGCTTGGAAGTTCAATAGTGATATTATACTTTATGAACTGCCTTTTATTATTGTATATATATTGGCTGAATGCGGTCTACTTCATGTCTCCCTTTAAGGCAGTCGTCTCGTTTTAGTAAGTGGACAGCTCAGTACTGGTCAAACATGATTTATAGGAAATAATTTTCTCAGTTAACTGTGCTGTGTGATGAGATCTAATGCTGCTCGTGATTGGAGCTATGGAGGGTACTCATGTTGCTGAATCACTTCATATTAATTGGCAGATTTCACTTGTCTGTGTAGTTAGTATCTGTTTACCTCCAAGCTTTTTTCCTTATGGGGTCAACACTGCCAATCATCTGCTTCCCGGTGTTCACTGTTTTGCATGATGATTTGATTTAATGACTAGTGTACATCTCACATTATCAACTGGCACAGAGAGTATATGAACGTATGACTACCTATTCAACTAGCTATTCAGCGCTTTTCGATAAATATAATTGATGTTATTAATTTTATGTATTGTTCCTGCCTGAAAATGAATTTCCTTCGGGATAATAATGAAGGAAACCTATCTGTAGCTAGACTGTATGGTATTTCATATTAAAAAAAATATATAATGATAAATTAAGTATAGAGATACTATTGCTTTGCTTGGACTATTTCAGTATTTCAGAGTATGGCATTATAGCCTGTTATCTTGAATCTATTTAATTGTGTGTGTGTGTGTGTGTGTTGTTGTTTTTTTTTGTTTTTTTTATTAAAGAATATCTTGAAAACAGCTTGTTAGCCTCTCCACAGATCTGACAACTTGACCTGTATTGCCACCTGCTTGTCCCCCTGGAGATCCAGAAAGCATACAAAGCAATAACATCCCCAGGGAGATAAGTAGGTACCGACCAGAGAAATGACAAATGTGCACCATATACTCTTCATTTATTTATTCATTTAGTGAAGATTGCATCTTTGGTCTATGTATTAAATACTAGGTTCACTCAAAATGCACTGTATTATGTAGAAGAATCCTCCACACAGGTGCAGCCTTTCCTGTTAAAAATACTTCACATTTACTCCATCGCTGTTTATATTTAAGAGTGCTCCTCGAATGCCAAAACCCCTCTAACATGCCCTTGGAGAAAGTGTTTACAAAAACCCATTGAGAAGCAAATATAGCCGCACAACAGTGGCCCTGCTCTTCCCTTTTGAAAATGACCCTAGATACCCATAATTCCCCTCTCTACCTGTCCACTAGCCTCTTCTCCTAACTCCCCTCTCCGCGCCCACCTCCTCCACCACCTCTGCCATCCCTCTTGGGTAATTTGTTGTGTAAATACGCTCTACTTAAAGCTGACGGGAACCTCTGGGCTGTGGCGCTGGAAATGCAATTACAGGCAGCAAACATCTCCATTGTTATCACTGGGGGGTGCGACGCGTATTTCGGTCCCCCTCAGCTCTGGGGGGTCGTTATTGATCGGTATCAGCTTTGAGGAGGGGATTACTAATGAAGCCATCTGAAAGCCCTTTGTGCCTGGTAAAGAGTTTGAACCCACGCCTTGTTAGTGTGTGCGTGTGGGGGCCAGGCGGGGTAATGTGTTTTAGTAAAAGGACTGCCTTTCCTGTTAAATGTCCTGGTATGCTCATATTGTGGTGCTCTAGTTCCCCTAGTGGACACTTTTGTTATTACATTTTCCTACCTTCCATATCACTCCACCTGTTCATTTTTTGTTTATCATTTTTTAATTATAGCACATTTTCAATAGTAATAAATATTATTGGAATCATTTGACCTAATCTAATCTGTTGCCTTTAAGTTTATTGGGAAGTTTTGGTCTGAAAATACAATCTGACATTTCCTCAAGTGAAAAACTGCATATTTCATCTTCATCACATCTGTCATTTTAAACTGCTGCCCTTTAGCATTATCAAACTTGAAGTAATATTTTATGGCTCCATGACTTGAAAAGGTCAATCTCTCAATCCCAAACCATCCACAGGCTTCAATATGCAACTTTGAACATTTGAACAACTTTGACAAAACTTTTAGCACAACATTTAAGCATTTGACATGTAAAGACTTGGTCGCTGGTATTTTGGTAATTGTATTATCACACCCATAGCAGAAAGGTTATAGTTATCAAGAATTGCATTTAAATCTGACTATTCTTCTCTTTAGTAGTACATGTTTTGAGTATAATTTCTGACCTCAGATCAGAATAAGAATTTATTTTATTTAGCCTGAAGGGAAGATTGTTTTTGTTTGGCCGACAAGGAGAAGTAAAACTATCAATATAAAAAAAATATATAATACAATAGCTCTAACTTCTTGTGATTCCAATCTTGTGAGAAGTAGGGTACACAATGATTTGATTATATAAAATGATAATAAATACACATAAATTGTTAAGATATCTTTTACAGCTGTATTGTATAGAGCTGTACTTAACAGCATGCAATAAATCAAGATGTATCATTGCCAGACTGTGTAATTAGATATTTAAACAACAGTTTGATTTTGTAACATTGTGGACTAACTATAATCACCAACACCACTAAAAGGGCCCTTATTATGCTATTTTCTGATCTAAGTTATAATGCTGTTTCTCCAACATGAACATGCTGTTTTGTTTTGTTTCATTTGCACATGTTTAACGCACACCTGCATATTTAGGCTGAGTTCTTCCCTTAAACAGAAATCACTGTCATGTGGGAAGACAGGAAGTGCTCCACTGTGTTGTTAATCTCCATGCACCTTCACTAGAATTATTTAGATTATTTCAGTTTTTCAGTATTTCAGGTAAAAGGCAGCTATTAACTTGAAAACTACCACTACATGTCATCACAAGGTGGAAGAGAACATTTCGAGCTTTGGAGATACACACAGAGGATTACTCAAGCATGTGTGAATGAAACAAAATACAACTTCAGGTATGTGTTTGATGAGGTAACAACATTCTAAAGCTCACAAAGAATCACTTTTGCATAATATAGGACCTTTAAAAATGCATATACACCTCTACATCACTAGCTATGTACCTGGCGAACTAAACTTACTTGAACTCTTCTGAGAGCAGGATCTTTAAGCCAGCCATTTAAAAGCGCCAGCCCCCATTTCCATAGCCCAACAGCTCAGTGCGTATTGCCTCAGCTCCATTATTAAGTATACTTCACATAAGGCCTATTTTCTCCCCAGACCGTGTCAAGCTGCTCTAATGCTATGCTTGTTTGGCTGTCTTTGAAGAAGTCGAGTTTTTTTGTCCTTGTTTGATGTGCTAGCTGTTGCCTGTGGACAAATGATATGGTGTGTTCTTTCTAGCCTTTGTTCCTTTGTGTTCACCTTTGAAATCTAAAGCCATACCATTACTGCATATTCACAGAATGTGGATAGGCAAAACTCATTCTAATTTCTCCTATCTGGGGGACATTAAAACCATGCAATTATTGGTTTCATTGAGTTTTGGATTGATGTAATAGTGTGAAATATTCTGTGAAATATATGATTACCCATCCATTTTCTGCATTACAACCCATGCGTTAAATTAGCAGATTCAAAACTTAAGACAGAAACAACAAATTTGTTTAAATTATGCTATTTTTTAATTACTTGATTGGCTTTCTGTCTTCTAGAGATTACTAGATGTCAGGCCTGAATCAAGACTGATCTGATATGGATCAAGCTTATAACCTTTAATGTATTTTTCACTAATCATAATCAGATAATCATCAACCAACACTTACCACCTTTACCACATTACTGTCTCCCACAGTACTATGCATAAGCTAAGGTAAAATGTCAATGTTGCAAACAAGCTTTCTTTTCTGTGTTGGCATTCCCACTATGGTTCAGTGTGTTTTTCCTTATAGAATACTTGTTAAATTTCAAAGTGCAAAGAATAATAGGTCAATTAATCCCCAGTACCTCAAGAGTATTCTGATGGTTGTTCTTAGACATGGTATAGGGGAATGTGTGTAATTTTGCCTTTGCCCACTTGGGGTCACTCTTATCACATATTTAAGTGGCCATATGGGCATCTGTTGCAGGATGTGTCAAACAGGAAAGTTGCTATATCAATCAAACCATTGATGTTTGCAATATTTAATCTCTATTCCAGAATTTGTTGACTCATATCTTGTCCTTTTTAAGATGCTACATAAAAGGCTGCTTTGCTCCTCTTCAGTGGTCACCTTATCTGTCAGAGGCGGCTGTGCCTTTAAAAGAGAAACATTTTATCTTTTTATAAGGGCATTTGCTGCACCTCACTAACCTCAAATGTGGAGTGTGCTCAGTGGCCTTTGCATAATGGCCTCTCAATGTGTATGGTTATGGCTGTGAACCCTGTGTACCCTTAAACAACCTTGCATGGTCAGAATCTCACTCAAGAAGCACCTTGTCCAGAATAACTTGAAGGAAATACACATCTTAAAACTTTGCTAGATGTTGGTACTAGGTTGGTCACAATAATTGCCATATCCATATATTGTTCAATATATGTTTGATGGAACAATATTTTTGGAGAGTCAATATTTATCGTGTGTACTTTTCTTTGCTTTACTGGGACATTTTTGGTTATCTTTTGGCTATACAATGAGATTTGAGCTGTAGAAAGTAGAATTAATAATGTCTATGACTGATTACAGATGCAAACTAAGTACTTCAATGTTTAATATGACTTTATTTATTGTAGCTCATGATTTTTAACAATACTGTACATTTAGAATAGCTTGTTGTGATATAAATCTGCACTTGGGTTATTGTGTCAGTGGCATAAATTAATTTCAGTATTATTATTTATTGTCTATATTTACTCACCTATTATTTATTAACTTATTTACTTTACAATGTATATTATACTTCAAAATTTGTTATTGTGATGGGCATAGTTGGTACGCATACAAAACTAATAATGAGGACGCACAAAATTACCTGACCATTATTGCTTTTAGTATTATTCATTCAGTATTCCATTGTAGACTATTGCCTCTTTATCTGCAGATAATCAGGTCCTTCAGTTTGGGAAACTGGTGAGCACATCCAACACCTATGAACCAGTGCCTCCAGGAAAGCCAAGAAAACCTGTGACCATCTCCATGGACCAGCCTCTACTGTGGGCCATGGGCATCCACAAACCTGGAGACTGAAGATTTCATTAGGGTCTATTCACAAAAGTAACTTATTGCAGACAGTTGCCTTGCATGTCTTAAGGACCTATTTTAAAGTTGCCAGATTTAAGGAAAGAATGTCTACCTTTTTAACCTGTGAACTGCCTTGAATAACAAAGTATCTTAGCATGTTTTTAAGACTGTATAGTATATCACATGTTGTGCCTTGTGCAAATAAAGTAAATAGTACAGTTTGTGGTGTTTCATGATTTTATTTACACAACAGAATACAAATGTTGTTCAAAAAAATTGAAAAAAATTGCCTCTCCTTTAGCTCCCATCCACAGCAGCCAACTAACACTTGTCGTTTTTCATAGTCCTTGTCATCTCTTTGTCTTAAAGCCTGGAGTTTGGGATTTAACCACCACTGCAAGATAAATAACAATCCATTAATTAAGTATTCTACTTTCACTTATTTTTTTACATCCAACAGATGATGTAAGTACTATGGGCTCCCATGTTGATATTATTAAGCTTAGAAATGTATTGTTTGTTTTCCGTTTTTGATTTTGTATGAATCTTTGCCAAAAAATGCTTTACCATATAACACAACCACATGACATTTCAGATGTGTTCACATTGTTTAAATTTAGGTATGTGATCTGTCGTCAAGTCCTGTTTTAAAATTTACTGTGCCTGTGTAACTTTTCTGGTGGAGTGTTTTGCCTGAATGTTTCACAGAATTGCATTAAACTCATCATCACCATGGAGATACGCAGGTGACACCACCAGATTAATGGTCATAACTTGGAAAGGTGATCCCACTCACAATAAAGTATTTTAGAGCAATAAAAACACCTTTATTTGTGCTACCAATAGATTTTTAATGCCATTCTGTGAAATATTACAGGCATAGCAATGACACCTAGCTCAAGCTATGCGTGTGAAAAGTTGGTTAAATGAATTAAAGGTGCACCAGTTTCTAAAAACATAGCAGTATGATCTAGATTAGAGGTTCCCAAACAAGAGTTTCTTTCACAGTTCTTCTATTTTAATTATTTGTGTACAATATGTACATTTATACTATATTTAAAGTATACGGCAGTATACTTGTCAGGGCTTGTCCTGTATTAGACCTGATCTGCGTCATTAGGTGAGACTACTTACACGATGATGTTGTTGATTGGGATGTGGATGAGTTTGACGAAGAATCCAATGAAACCCATGATGGCAAATCCGATTGCTGTGGCCATGGCGATTTTCTGAAATTCTGTTAAAAACAACATACATCTCATTTATTTCTTTAAACGGCTCGAATCTTTACGTCAAGTAACAATGACTTGGACTGATGATAAGGATTTGATTAACCTACCTTTTCTGTCGGGTTTTGTGCATCGCTTTACGAGCCGTATCGAGTCTTTGACGAATTGCCGACTGGGCTCAACAAACTGCATTACTTGGTCCATTGTGAATAGTTTCTGCAAATAAAAGAATAGTTGCTTATTTTAAAATCAGTGTTGCTCATTACCCATCACCGCTAAAGGGAAAGCTAACTCAAGTGCTGACGTACACATCAAGAACATACAGTAGATGCCGTTTTATGTGTGTCTTATAGCTTCTTAGTAGTATAAAACAAAACACGAAGAACCAGATTAGGGTTTCTAACAAAAACATGATAAGATTAAGGCTTTAAATTGACTTTTCATCACTTGGACTTGGTATAAGATTTCAGGCCGACGTGTGCAATAGAAAATCAGCTGATCACTTAACAAAAACGAACTAAGCAATGGTTTTCAAGCTACATGTTTATTTTGTTGTTTTGAATAATATTTAATAGCCACTATAAGTATAAGAAAGCCAATCCTTACCTGTTTTGGAGTCTAGTTTGATGAAGAGACAGCAGAAGACTGAAGGCCACGTCGCAGCAGGCAGCTCTGTTTGTGAAGAAGAGCTGACGTAGCCTTACGCCGCGCATGCGTCAGATTCATGGTCAGATTCTTGTTCTGGACTCGTAGAGGTGTCGAGCTTCACACCGCCGTCTATCGACTGGGGGTGTAACTTACAACTCTCTGATGGTAATGGACAAGTTTTCTGGTTGTAGTGCAGGGCACACAGCAAAAATAATGACCCTCGGCCCACTTACTTGCATGTCCCACGTTTTCATGGAGGCCTAATGAATAAAAAAAAAAAAATATATATATATATATATATATATATATATATATATATATATATATATATATATATATATATATATATATATATATATATATATATATATATATATATATATATATATATATATATGCATAGCCTAAATTATAAAATAAAAAGAATTTGCCACTCAGGGTTGGAATAATGGTGTATATTTGCACCCCAAGTAGCACTGATTTAATCAAATATTTAATAAAAATTATATAATGTGAAAAACTACAATAAAAAATAATAGTAATCTTATTTGCTTGTAATGTATTGTTGTAAATGAGTTGACTGCGTCAGGACAAGCACAGCTCATTTACAAAGAAAATGAGCCTTTGAGGCTGTATGCTTATACCACATTCTTCAGCTCCTTACCTTCCACGTGATTTACACTAATACATGGATTCTAAAAGCACATTCTTTTAATGTTTGCTTTCTGTGGTAAATTATGCTGCAAGATTATTCTGAAAATATTGTATCTTTCCTTTCAGTGCTTAATTAAATCAAAAGTTAGCAGACCATGAACGAGTATTGTGATGAGCTGGGGGAAGAGACCATAACGGTTGCTGGAATACTACTAATACACTATTGTAATTTCCCAAACATTTGACTGATCTTTAAAAATATTTCCTTACCCCTGAAAAAATGAGGGAAAATCTGTTCTCCCAACTAGGGGATAAAAATAAAGACCTGCTTTCTGAGAAAATAAAGGTCAGATTCATAATAGGCTAATACAAAATCTGTTTACTTACATTATGTACATAATGGTTGAACATCGTAACTTATATTTTTGCTACACATTTACATCATATTAGCAGCAATTATCCTTATTAAGACTGCATCAGTTAACCAATAATACATGAAACCTGTGACATACAAAGCAATATCATTCAATAACTGGCATGTGAATAAAGCAGATTGTACTTTACTGGTGCTCCTAAATGATCTAACTCTTCGACTGAAGCTAAGTGAAAGTGCTGATGAGTGCTGTTTGATTTCTATATATGCATTATTTGGACTCTTCCTGTTCCATTCAGTCCCATGTGATCCCAAGCAGGGTGCAGCTGATCTCCCACAGTTTCTGGGCAGAGTCGTCATTGGAGGCGGCTCTGGAGCATCTCGTTGGAGCACAGTCACTAAACACAAACAAACCAGTGTGATTTGCAGTAGTCCCCACACACTTTTTCTTTCTTGTCAGAGACTAAATTTGTGTTGTACTTTACACTATATTGTAAAAGTCCAAACTTATGCACAATGTTTGTATCTAATTATAAAGCTGATTTGCTAGGAGTTGTTGTAATTTCTGCAGAGACAATCTTTGCTTTGCTGCTTGACAGTGGTAAGATTTGCATATAATTAATAAACAAGAATCACAAGTTATGAAAGTTAGAAATACATTTGGACTATGGCTAACAACTTAAATTTAACTAGTTCCCTCTATCATGGTTAGAAAACAGGAGAATACGATATGAAGTAAGGTTACTCTAGAAACTGTTAACAGTTCCTACAATATACATGGATTTTAGCTTCCTGTTGTATGCAACATTTTGAGGACTTTATCGCATTCAAAAGAATTCATAATATTTTTTCAGATTGGTCATCGCCATGGCAACGGTCCTTGTTTCTCATCATTCTGAAACGCATGCATATTGTGCAAAATTATCTGCAATTTATCCAATATCACAGTATCTCCATAACAGGATAATATTCATATTGCGAGCCAATGTGAGGAAATGTTTCAAATCATGAGGTTGCCTAGAGTGAATATGGGGACAGTACTCAAACAAGCATTCTCTAAAGTATTGATTACCTGAAATAGCCTCCGCTCTGACTCTCCAGACCGGGCTCCACAGCACAGTAAATAGTAGTCTGAGCTCCTTCCACTGTTGTCTTTGTAAATATCCTAAAAATCTTCACTGCCACCTGAATACACTGGTGCTGGTGCCTCCATAGGTCTGACTGTACCACCCCCGGGTGCAGAGAGAACACACTCACCCCTGTGCCTAAACACAGAAGGAAGAACATTACCATCCCACATACGGTGCATGCAGCAGTCATGACCCCATTGGTTATATTTGCATGTTTTTACATATGATTCCCCCCTTAATTACAATGCACATATTTTTCATCCTGTTCGAGCTTCTTGCCTACCTTGCAATCTTTTGGCTAGTGATCGTGCAAAGAGGACATTAGCCAACTTGCTCTGCCCATAGGCTTTCATAGTATCATAACTCCTCTCGCTGTTTATGTCATCAAGTCGAAGTCCAGTCCATGTGTGAGCCACAGAGGCCACCACAACAATGCGAGAAGGAGCAGAGCGCTTGATAAGGTCCAAAAGGAGATATGTCAACAGGAAGTGGCCTGGGAACAGACATTTCATTTCAGTTATTTTTTCCAAATGTTACATATAGTGTTTTTCTGATTCACGAATGTGATGATGTCATATTCTCAGATGGGGGCAAAGGACAGTTTTTCTTTTTGATAACACTGTACTTTGCCATCAGACATCAGATATCCAATTGATAATACCCAAATATCGAACCTAATAATTTCTATAACATTTTCTTAATAATAGAATGTAATTTTCAAACAAAAATAATACTTTCTTGAATGTGATCTATTAGAGATCAGCCCTAGTGTGAATACTAGTCTGGTATTGATTAGTATCTGGGTATACATTGAATATTGACATCTAAATTAACTATATTTAACAAAAACACCCAACCACAAGGTCAAATGCACTGCAGTACTAAGTGCCATCCTATGCTGATTCTAAGAATGTTGTAGACTAAAACAGGAAATACAAAAATGGGTTCAGGGCTTCCATATGTCCCCCATAGGAAGTTTTAAAGATATAGATATCTCTCTATTGTTCTTAAGTTCCTGTTTTGTTCTTAACCCTGTAACATTGCGTGAACACTGAAGTACTCATTACTGTCAAATTGCCACCAGAGACAGACCATTTGGTTAAGTCTAGTGATTCATGCCCACACAAAGCTAAAAAATGACAAAGATAAATTTAAATATTCAACATATGGATAATAATGCTGGAGCACAAGCTGTTCTCTCTCCCATTGCACAAAGACAAAAATACCACTGCAGTCAACAATCTCCAGGAAATTCACTGACAGCTTGAAGAAATTGCACTTTTCTTACTCTTTTTAGAAACTTGTGGGAACTTTCTCTTCCACCCAGCCACCAACCAGTGGTGGCAATTTTTATGTTCTATCAAATCAATTGCTATTTAATTCCATCATATACATTTTTTTTTTACTGAAAAGAGTGAAAGAGTGAAATATCTAAAACTTACCTAAATGATTGACACCTAGTTGCATTTCAAAGCCATCTGCAGTCTTGGAGTAAGGACACATCATTATGCCAGCATTGTTTATGAGAATATTGACTTGTTTCTCCTCTAAAAACAAATAATAAAATGTATTTTAAAATGCACACTTCTTGATTTTTTAAATTAGTTTGGGTGCTATACCTTTGTTGATCAGTTCAGCAAATGCTCTGATAGACTTAGTATCAGACAGGTCCAGTTTTCTAATGACTAGATTCTCATTCCCAGTGTCTTCTAAAATGTCCTGTTTTGCCTCCTCAGCCCTCTCCAAGTCTCTGCAGGCCATGATGATTCGAGCACCTGCAAGAGAGATTATAAAAGGTACATCTCGAAATATAAATGTGCATGTTCACTCCCTTGTGACTCTTATAGCTGGAGGTGAAAGCAGGGCCGGAAGTTAAGTGGGTTTTCACCATCCAGGGGTTAATGGATTGATTGTCACTCTGACCCTATGCAGACTATGCAGTCAATGTGTCCTGAGGCGAAACCCTTCACCCATATTACCCAGGTCAGTATACATACAATATAGTATACATAGTAGTCACAGTATGAGGCTGATTGAGGCAGGAGGGTCAGCTGCAGTAAATACATTATGAATGCCAGAAATATTATGTTTATATATGAATACAAAAATACCTTGATGTAAACACTGGAGTGGGTGGGTATTTTTTGCCTTGTGGGAACTGAAAACTGATAATAAAGTCAGTGGAGAACACAAATGTGCTCATGAGATAAAAGTCCTTTATTAATAGATCAACAACATAGTTTAAAGGTGGGATGTGGGTTTAGGATTAGGTTAAGGTTGTGTGCAAGAAGTAATTATGGTTCATGTTAGCTCAGTCTCCAGGAAATTGATGTAAGCCAATGTAATGTCCTCATTTGACCCCAGCATGTGTTAATTGAATTGATGAGCTATATTTGGTTCTGATACAGGCCACATAAAACCAAACAAAACTTTCTTCAGTTATTCTTGTAAAAAACGTCTCTAATGTTGTTACAGCCAACAGCCAACAAATGCTCTTACATAATCAGCTAGTTGCCCTTTGTTTAACCTAATTTTAATTATATCCTAATGAGCTGATTAGAATGGGTTGACGAGGACAACTTTCACTGCACAAAGCACCACCCCCCTGAAGCTGCGGTCTGTCTCTCATCATGTGTGTTTCTTTATCTCATGCTCTTTACATGGGGGAAAACCCAATTGTTAACACAGTCCCTCAACATGACAAGTTGCTTCATTTAAATTACATAGTTCACAAACATACAAGCTGAAAATCTCATTATGGACAATACATGTAAAGTTCAGTCCCAATCGTAACTTTTCACACAATGCTCTCCGTAAAGGCCTGCCCTTCAAATTTGCTTTTTGGCGCTGAGTGCCGCTGACAAACTAAAAACTCATATTTTTACAAGACAAATGATTGGTACAATTACATTTGATTTCCCCTGGTAAGTTTTCTCACCGTGAGCGATGGAGCTGTCTAATGAATCCTCGCAAACCTAATTATGCTGTCATCATGTTATTGCAAGAACCCATTACCAAAATGTGATACAATAAGTCAGCATAGAGATAGCAGTGTTATTATTTCCCTTCTAGTAATAATAAATCATTGCCTTGGTTTCATATTTGTTTATTAGATTAGGAAAAATATGGTGAATATAACACCTCTCTCACACCAGTGACAGTCATATTTTGTGTAGGAGGTGTTTGGGGTGCTGTACTGTGCTTCTCAATCTACATCTTTTCTATACTTACATAAAGAAATATATATATGCTAATAGTTCTTCCTTTTTTGGGTGTTATTTTTGTTGTTTTGTATGTGATGACTTTTCCTTTATGGTAAGTCCATCTATACATTACAAAATGTATTAAAGTATATATATATATATATATATATGATAAACTATTCTGTAAGATTTGAAGATATGGGTTACTCAAAAAGGTCTTAGATTACAGAAAATTTATTCTTGTGAGCTTTAAGACTTTAAGTTCTACTGTAATTTAGTGCCCTTCTCAAAAACATACCTGTAGTTGTGTTTTGTTTCATTCACACATATTTGAATAATCATTAAGTATAAGTCTGTCTACATCACTAAAGCTCAAAATGCACTGTTCCACCTTGTGTTATCATGAAGTAGTAGTGGTAGTTTTCAAGTAGTTAACACTTACCTTTTACATTTCATTCAATAGAGATTGGTAATTCCAGAGCAAAAATTATTCAAATGATTCTAGTGAAGATGCATGGAGTTTAAAAACACAGTGGAGCACTTCATGTGGAACAGAGTACAGGATTATACAGGATTTGTGTGTTTAACATGTGTGAATTAAACAAAACAAAAGTCCAGTTCTGATGAAGAAACAACATTGTAATATACATCAGAAAATAGTGTAATATGGCTCATTTAAATTTCAGCAAGCTATGTTTACAAATTAGCCGTGCAATAGTCAATCATAGTTACAGATTTATATTTGGTTATTAGATCAGATGTACACCAAAACAAATCAACTTTCTCCTACACTACTGAAAGTCATATTTTGCGTAGGAGGCATTTGGGGTGCTGCTGTGCTTTTCAGACCAATGCACACACTCAAGTGCATAAACAGTTTTCATGCACCCAGCCTTGTGTAAGCGCCTGTGTGTGTGCGCATGTGTGTGTGTGTGTGTGTGTGTGTGTGTCTCTTTGTTGCCCCTGTGGCTGGGGAGGGGAGCAGAATGCACAATGCCTTCTCTGTCTGTCCCCTTGATGCTTCGTCTGTCTACCATGACCATCACCGTCATCTAATGAGCACAACCATTTCACCCATGAAAATTCCTGTCTATACACACACACATAGACAATGGAATTTACCTAAGGAAAAGCCATAATATTCAAATAAAACTAATACTAAATCTGTATTTCTTAGAATTTTTATTCATGACTAGTTTCTTTTTAAGTTTAGCACCAAAAATTAAATGGGCAAACAACATAATCAAAGTATTTCATTACTTTCTTAAATCTTACATTTGGACATATATACCTAAATATATTTCAAGGCAGAAAACCATATTGATAACAGCCTAGGTAAATGAGAAAGGACGGCATTTGACATAACCTTTGATGCCGTATCTGTATGTGAATTACTGCATGCTGAGAGCAAGTACTTAACATAGTGGGCTATTGAAACAAGGAATTATTGAGTTAAGCCATGCATTCTGCAGTGTTGGAGGTCTGTAAGCAGAGGTCACGTCACGCTGTCTAGCCTTTAATCCAGCCGGGCATTCAAAAGAAACGGGTTCCTAAGTAAAGAATGGGGCTCGACTGAGAGTTTGTGAACATAGAAGGAAACCACAGTGAGAAAGTCAATATCTGTGAGCTAGAAATAGATTGTTTATCTCAGACGGAGTGACAAGCCGGTGTGATACCTCTCCTCGCCAAGTCTCTGGCAGTTTCTTTCCCGATGCCCGTGTTGGCACCTGTAATGATGACAGTCTTCCCTTCCAGCCTCTCATCAGAGGACCAGCGATTGCAGCACATGCTTCTAAAACACACAAGGAAATATTCACAAATGTATTTCTTCCAATGAGGTAACTATGTGCAACCTCAGATGACCTTTTTCCTCAGGTCAAAAATAATACAACTGTCACAAAATAAATAAATGATTTTGAAAAGCTTAACTATAAATATGATAATATGATAAGTTTTGCATCTGCAAGTTACAGGATTTCCTATTAATAATGGTCTAATGGTGGTCCTTCATAATTACATTTTCTCCCCATAGTCAAGCTGAACAATAAATTGGTATTATAAAAAAAATAAAAAATTCTGGGGTGTTGAACTTTTACGATATCATATCAAAGTATATGTAGCATTATACCATAACCATTCAAAGATTAAAGGTAATCAGACATCATTATCGCATAAATATCACACATTAAATAAGGATTGCCTGTACAGAGCATATGTGGAACAAATGCTGAGGCTATGGTTACAAATGATCAAATAAGAAAATGTTAATCCAGTTATATTTACATATAAACATAACTGAAATATAAAAAGTGCAAAACCATATTTTCTGCTTTAGCAAACCAGCCAGACAGCAAGTTTAAGATCCTTAAAATTCCAGCATTCCAAACACTGTCGCCTGTCGCCTATCCATATTTTGGTGATTTGGTCATTTACTTACCTGCAGTACATTGTTACGCGCCAGTAAAAAACACCTCTCGGGAACAAGGATCCACTTGAGGGAGAAATGGACTCTGGCGCTCTTCGGTCCCCCTCCAACAGTTCATTAAGCGATTTTCGTCTGTCATATCTCCCCGCCCCTTTGTCATCACAAAATTACGCACGAACCAATCACGATCGACTTCGCGCATAATTGATCCACATGTTTCCGGGACAGGGACAACATTGATGGTGAGTTTTGCCTCCACTATTGGACGAACTCACGCCAGAAGAAGAAATACTTTGTAATGTTATGTGCAAAAAGAGATTTCTTTGCGCAATGTTCAAGATGGTGCCCCAGCTTTCCCGCTGCTGAAAACGTGAGGTAATTCAAATAGCTACATTGCAAACATCAATATATGTTATATGTATGTTTATTTCATTTGTTTTACACTTAGGCTAAGCTCCTTTCTTGCAGATAGGAAATTGAGGTGGAACTACTACAGTTTGTAATTATATGGTACTTATAAGAGAATTACGCACAAAATTACAGAAGGCACTAAAGGAGCTTTACAGAAAAAAATAATATTAGCAGAACAATAAATATGGTTAAATAATTTAATTAACCAATGCACTGTCTTGCTTTATCCAGTCAAGACTCACTTTCATTTCTTTTTAAAGGTCCTATATTATACACATGTGACAATTGTGAGCATGTTATAATATTGTTAGCTCCTTAAAAACATACCTGGAGTTGTGTTTTTTGCGTTCACACGTTTAATCCTTTATTATTAGTCTACATCTCCAAAGCTCAAAATGCTCTGTTCCATCATTTCATGTCTTGTATTTTTCAAGTTACAGCTACCCTGTACAGTTTGTTCAGTAGAGATTGGCAATTCCACGGTTAAAATTATCCTAATGATTCTAGTGGAGGTGTATGGGTCTTAAAACACAGTGGAGCACTTCCTGTATGATCACATAACATCACAAGGTGGAACAGTGTTTTCAGTTTTAAAGAAGATCTTACATGTTAAACATGTGTGGATGAAATAAAATAAAACTCCATGTATGTTTTTGATGAGTAAACAACATTATAACATAGGAACAGAAAATGGCATAACATGGGTCCTTTAAGGTAAACTGTTATTGCCCCACTTCTTTAAGTCAAAACGTGCATACAACCTCCAAAGATTCTCCAACATGCTACATACAGGCACCAGAGTAAGTGCAATGCTTAGTTTATTTATAATTCAGTCCTGGTTTGTCTTCTGTTTCCCGAGATGACTTATGCTGAACAGTGCTTTATCTCCAGCGAATCCCCAGCAGGTGGCAGCTCACAGCCCACAGTTTCAGAGCTGTAGCATCGTCCTGACCGGCTCTGCAGCTTTCAGCATTGGCACAGTCCCTAGAAGCAACAGAAGACATAGACTCATGAATAAAAACAGCCGTGAGCAGTGGTCCATAACGCATACACTTGACCCTCAGCCATGTTGTTAAAGGTAAAGTATACCTTCACCTTATCTGACCCTCACCTCCCACATGGCACAGCATATTACCATATTTTTCTCCTTAACACCCCCAGTTACATACAACATTTGAACTGGGTCTGTACCTCCTCTTTCCTTCTCACACTCACCAAAAATGTCTCATGCTCTTTTATGTTTAAGTGATATTATTAATTCATTATATTAGCATTTTTATTTATGCATTTGTTGTTTCTATGATTCTCATTCATTCATTTTTAAAGTAGGGTTGGGAGATGTTTGACAAAAAATATTTTTTTAATCTCTAGCTTTGATCAGTCATCATTTTATCCAATTTGAATTAAAACAAATAAAAATGGCTTTCAAGATGAATTTCATGAACATTACAGACTTATAATCAGTGCTATGTTTGTTGTTCCTTCAAAGTTTCAACTCCAAACCACTTTTTCTGACTTAGGATTGGTTGTAGACCAAGTTAATTATATCATCTTGATTAAAATTTGATTAACTGCAATTGCCCTAGTTTACAGTTTACTTATATTGTTCTATATGAGCTATACAATCTTAACAAGCACTTTAAACTAATACCAATATACAATATATTTCATTAACATTATATTTCATAATTATGTTTTTGTGTTTAAAGGTCAGTTGTTTATTTACTTCTTAATATTATTTATATATTTTTCCACTGGATTTGCCAGAAATGACTGCATAATAACATTTATATGATACTTCAAATTATCTGACTGGTTTATGAATATTTGCTGCTTGCTTAGATGTTTGTGGCTGTGACGAGATGTTAGTTTATTTTATTGATTCAGTACATTTAGTTCACTCACTTGTAATATCCTCCGTTGATCATCTGACTGTCAGGATTGCAGACACAATAGATGGTGGTGAGGGCGCCCTCTGCTGGGGTCTTGATCAGAAAACTGAAAGTCTTGAATAAGTCCACAAGAGGGCGCCGTATGTGTCTGGTGATTTCAGTGTTGACCGCCCCGGGGTCCACTGAGTAAACCATCACACCAAATGCTGGGAAATGCATAATTGTGATTGTTACATAATATTTTGTACTTTTTTTTTAAGCAATTCTAAGTGACTGAAGCTATACATCCTCATCGTTAAAGGTTCTGTATTCAGCAAAATTGAGTCTTGTGAGCATTTAGCCATGTTACGTCCTCAGAAACATAGCAGGAGTTGTGTTTGTTTCATTCACACATGAGCAACATTTAATTATTAGTCTATTTCCAAAGTTAAAAATACTCTGTTCCACCTTGTGATGTCATGAAGCGGTTAACAGCAACTTTTTACCTTTTGTTCAGTAGAGATGTGAAATTGCATGGCTGAAATCATCCAAACAATTTTAGTGAAGGTGCATGGAGTTTAAAAACACAGTGGAGCTTTGTGTATTACCACATAACATCAGATGTGGAACAGAGTGTTTTCTGTTTGAGAGAAGAACTCAGCCTAAATATGGAGGGTTTGTGTGTTAAACAAACACAACTCCGGATATGTTTGTGATGAGGAAACCACATTATAACATAGATCAGAAAATAGGGGGACCCTTTAAGGAGGAGAGAAAACAACTATTTATTTTCCAAACACATCAATCTTATCTCATCTTTCGCTTTGCGCATTTGTGGTTGGGCCATGGGACTGTCACACTGGCAACACATTCAGATCCATTTTCTATGCAGGCGCACACACGTTTAAAGGCAGTCATGCAGAGTGCTTCATGCTTGTTTCTCACCCTCCATCCGTTTGGCCAGCTCCCTGGTAAAGAGGACGTTGGCGAGTTTGCTCTGTGCGTAGGCTCTGACAGGGTGATAGTCCCTCTCTCCACTCAGGTCGTCAAACTGAATCTTGCCCATGGCGTGAGCAGCCGACGAAACGTTAATGACTCGCGATGGGGCCGAGTGCTTCAGCAAATCCAGTAACAGGAACGTCAGGAAGAAATGACCTAAGATTTGGGAGAAATAATGATAATTATTATTCATTTTTATTTAACACAGCCTTTCATGACATTCAAGTACACTTTAAAACAGCTTAAAGACATAAAAAATACTAGAGGTAACACATAAAATCAACAATACAGAAAATTAACCAACAAAACACTAAGGGTTTTGAGAGAGTGGGTTTTGAAAGTCAGTAGATAATTAAACATGGATAAAACATGTTATTATCACATTCATAAGATGTGGGGCAGTTATTTGATTAATTTTACCCTCACGCTCTGCACTCTCACAATTATTATAACCACAAGGACAACTTAGACTCAAAAATGCATGGCATTGCATACAAATGAGTTTCATTCTTTTTTGGGATTGTCCAGATAACATTAATGATGTGGTATTTTTTGATACTTAATATATGTAACAGTAAATGTCATGGTTATGGTTCATGAACTACATGGCCTGTACACAAAGTGCATAAGTACGACTTAAGTTCACTTTCCTTTTAAAATGTGTATTTTTCATCTTTCATCTTTTTATATACACACACACATATATATATATATATATATATATATATATATATATATATATATATATATATATATATATATATATATATATATATATATATATATATATATATATATATATATAATCTATTCCAATGCATTTGATATTCTAATGTTGTGTAAGAACCAAACAAGTCTCATAAAATATATGGGCCATTAGTATCAAAGTAGACATGCACTTTCCTCCTTGTTTTAGTTTTACCTAGATGATTGACTCCAAACTGCATCTCATATCCATCCACTGTCGTTGCATAAGGGCAGATGGCGACTCCTGCGTTGTTAACCAGGTAGTGGAGGCTTTTCTCAGCTGAGGAAAAAGTGCAAGTCACGAAGCAGTCTCTTTATGTGATACCTTTAGGTGATAGGAGCTACTTTATAATAGGACACCGTGTCATCCACCTACTGTCATACACATTTTCGGCAAACTGACAAATTGATTTGGTGTCGGCTAGATCCAGTTGCCTGGCGACCACCTTGGCTCCTTTCAGAGCCTTCAGGATGTCACGGGCGGCTTGCTCTCCTTTGGCCATGTCCCTGCAGGCCATGATCACCCTGGCCCCTGCACACATTACTGTTAGTACAACTGTTTAATACTGTGACTTTAATCGGCTGCTGTGGGGCTTGCCTCTGCTGGCCAGGTCTTTGGCTGTCTCTTTGCCGATGCCTGTGTTGGCTCCAGTCACTATGGCTGTTTTTCCATCAAGACGCACATCTGAAGACCATTTAGGGACAAACAGAGCCCTAGATAATTGTGCAGGATGTGAAAAGAAAAGTCATGTTACAAACTCCAATGGTGTGTATTATTGTTATTGATAGGGTTCAAAACAACACCACTATTCATTTTATTTTTATTTTTTATTTATTTATTTACAGGAAGTCAATGAATAAGAAAGTACATAATCACAATTAATATCTTATGCACATTTACATGAAGATTACATTTTCTTATTTAAGCTCAAAAAGGAATCGTGAAAAGGTAAACTTGAATCCATTCCCATTTTTCATTAAAAACATAACACAAATGTTTTTAAATAATATCAATAAAACTTCAAGGCTCTTCTATTGGGAACTCTTTAAATCTTTTTATTTATTTTATCAACATGATTATTATTATTATTTTTAAATTTATTTATTATTTTTTGTATATTGTTCCCTCAAGAACGTGCTAAAACAAACGTACAAGGCCTTACCTGAGTGCTTCCATATCTCTTGTTGGGGACATAAAGCTGCTGTATCCTTGGCTGCGTGTGTCTGTCTACAGACTGAGGCTCAGGACTCATGCAGAGCAGATAGCACAGAGGGACTACAGAGACTTCATTGAATAAAAAGTAATGACCTGGGACAGTTAGCAGGAAACATTTGACACAGTCTCTTCTCTGTTTAAACCATGCAAATGTGACTAATTAATTACTGCAGTGTTTTGAGAGTGCCCCTTGTAATTTTTAAATAGAAGTTTTTAAGTACACTATTAGCCAGAGCTATTGGCGAAGCATCTGAATCAGTGTACAGTAGTTCACATGAGGAACAGACATGTGATGGAGCTACACTTTAGGACACAGTGAAATGGTGAGGGTTGCAACAAGCTGAAGAGATTATGAGAAAGATTGCTTCATCTTGCCTGTTAGCCTGCATTTGTGCTTACACAGTATGGTATGTTATAATGTAATCCTTTAACCCTAACAATATTTTAATGTGAATAAATGTAGACACAGGACAAAGCATATTAATAAATATGAACCTCTCTCCCTTCAGTTCCTTGGTGTGCTGCAGAAGTGCCGAGGCTGAAACTCAAACCCCGTGACCACAGGTGAGCGTGTCTCATCTTATCTTCCCTAAAGTGAGATTTTGGTGCTTTCCAGAGGTAACCCTAATTTCTCTGTTTATTTAGCTGTCTTCATTTTTGTCCATGTATTCCCTCTTTCATCCAAGAGTCTTCCATAGGAACAAAGATTTCAAACACTACTATCTGGACCTTGGATTTTTTAAGATGTATAAATTTAATTATCATCCAGTGTGGTTAAATACACTTTGTATTAACAATTTGTATTAATTAATTTATTTTATATATTCTTCTAATAACAAATGTCTGTTTAAATAAATGTGAGTTCAATGCAAACTAGTAACATCAGTAATTGCCACTAGATGGTGCACTTAAGCAAAATTCTCCTAAAGATTTCAGCACAAAATCATTTAAGACTGGAAAAATTAGAAATGTCTTCAGACTGGTTCTGTGTGGGGCAAGTCTCATGTAAACCATGTGAAAGCCAGTCATAACTTCCTGTTTTGAAACTCACACACACACACACACACACATACACACACACACACACACACACACACACACACGCACACACAGGTCTAAATACACACATATACACACATCCACACATACTCAGGTCTAAACAGAGTGCGCCCGCAGCACGCTGACAGGGCACTGCAGCCCCTCTCATGTGGTCGCTCTGTGACGATGCTTAGATGAGCCTCTCCTCACAGCTGCGCTCCATCCACAGTCTGATGAAAGGCCTCTGTCTGTCAGCACCCGGCCAGCGACAGAGCACCCGGCCAAGGACAGAGTGCCCGGCCAGTGAAAGAGCACATGTGGAATTAGCACAGCTTCACTAAATTATAGATCTTCTTGTGGCAATAAATGACCCTGTCATTATCATTTGCCCATCTTAAAATAGGAAAGTTGACAGGAAACAGAGTGTCAGCTATCAGCAAAGAATGGCTCAAACACAAGTCAGTCAATATTTTTTCAGTCATTTACTGCAGAAAATTGATATGTACAAATTTCTTTTTTCATTATTGTCTCACAATTATATGATATGTCTTTGGAAGTATATACAGCAATTATCACAAATTAATTTTATCTGCTATAATTATTTAAAACTCCACATTTTAAAATCGTCTTCATTAAAGTTGAATACAAAAAAAACAAATGTCATCATTTCAACAAAACAAACCAGTAGTAAAATAGCTTATCAAATGCATAGCATTTCTGAAACACAAACTGCACTTAAAGTACAATGAGAAAAGTGATCGACAAACATTAAAGAGGCATAGTTTCAAACCATGAACTTCAATCTTAAAACTCTCTTGAACACTTTTGACCCTGAAAACCAACAAAGATTCATTTTAACTGAATATTCCCTGTACTGCACCTCTTTGGTCCAAAAGTAAAAGAACAAAAAATATTTTGTATGTGTATTTCAGAAAGACACACCACATTTCCACACAGTGGATCTGAACAGAAAACCTGATATCCGCATGGTCAAAAGCCAGGTACATTTTTTAAAACTTTGTATTAAGACCTGCAATAATTTCCACCCTTACTTCTGCAGAAAAATCCCCAGTGGAGATGGGAGTTTCCATATAAAAATACTCCCCTCTAGAATGCACCTGTGCTGAAGTGTGGCTATTGTCCAGGCCTTAATGAGAGAACCTCTGCACACTAAAAACTGCAATGATACGGTTTGAAATCTGAGATGGCTATTTTGTCCCTTTCCTCTTTTCTGGTGCTCGTTCATCCATCATTTCCTGGACTGGCAGAGTCTGCTCCTGCAAAGTGCTTTGGGTAAATGAGTCCTGGGTTGAGCTGCTCTGGAAAAACGTGCCAGTCTCATTGGCTTGTTCTTGTACAGGGCTCCCAAAAGCGTCGTCTGGTCCCGCCTCCTCATTGCCAAGCGATGTTTGACTGACATAAACCACAATGACATCACCACTGAAGTTCATCACCTGGCCACTGGAGATGAAGGTGGTGTTGTGATTTCCAGACACTTGACCTGCATGAGAGATAAAGGTATTGATATTTAGAAAACATTTCAGAAGTATACTGTAATTGAGTTAAATTCAAAAACAATCCAAAATGTATGCGTGTCTATACAGTGTAGTCAACACAATGTTTTGTAGGCACTAAATTGGTTCTAACCCGATCTGACCAATGTACAGTGGGAGGAATGACCAAAATTACCTCAGAAAATCCTGAATACCACCATATCATATCCCTTTTCCCTTATTGTTTTAGTAACATGCACTTAAAGCGTGAGAAAAAGTGAAAAACACTGCCTTTTCCAAGGACATGAGATTTATAGACACGACTGAATAATGAGGAAAATATGTCTGAAAAACAAAGCAGTATAAAGGAATATTCAAAACTTTACAACTACCAATGAAAGTTCAGTTTTGGCATTGAAGGTGAATGAGTAAATCCCGACTTGACTCGATAAACTCCTGTTTTGTCCACTTCCCGTCTATATTCATTGAAAAAACAGGTCGCCATGGTGACTCAGCGCACACGTCTGTCTACTGGCCAAACACACTCACTATATATTATACATGGTCCTGGAAGTACAGTAAAGATAAACAGACCCTAGACTTACATAGTCATAAAGGCAAACAAGCTCACACCATTAGAGCCTTGTCTGAGTCTTTACTGGAATGCCAGTTGACTGAAGGCGAGATGAAGGGGAAAAAGAAAAGACATTTGCCGCTACTTTGAAAACAGATCTTCGTGGAATTTGGTTGGGTTCTTGTTGTTTATTCTTTCTTAATGCCGAGTTGATTTTCTGAAGGCATAACAATAGCAAGACTGACCATTGTTGAAAACTGTGGAAGCTTTCTCCTCTGCAATTCACTTAAAAAAATATCTGGGGCGCTTTAATTTGATTCACATCTGTCTCCTTGTTATTCTCAAGGGTTTTTAATTCTGGCTTTGTTTAGTTCAGCACTCTATTTTTAGTTATCTGTGCATTGCTGTGGTGCAAAGTAATTAGATACTCCTTACAGCCAGGCAATATGACAAAATATTTTTCCTCATATTGTTCCAACATGATTTTGAGTTAATTTATTTTGTCTCATTAAAACAAATATCATTCAGTATTCATTTCCTGAACATAAATGGCAATCATAAAAAGTGTGTATTTTTAAACACAACAAAATCTTTCAGTCTTTTATAGTTCAATAATGCTTTAATAGTGGTTGTTGTTGTGGTACTATTTAGTCTACTTTTTAAGCGTTTTACACCCAAAAAATGCACTATAAGTAAAATCCTCCAGCTAAGATAGTCTTGACCAAGTCTAGCTCAAGATCTGGAGATGGGTCCCCAATGCTCCTCATAGGGAGGATAGGTCAAATGCAGGGGACAAATTTCCATATGGAGAATAAATTAAATTAATAAAATTACCACAGTGACACCTTTGAGAGTAGTTTTGACATGAGCGGGATGCCCTTTTGATTATTTTCAAATACTTTATGATGGGAATTGCTGCCTATGTTACTGTAATTACAGATTCTAGTCATCAGTAAGAGTTTAAAAAAGACCTTGACAAGTTTGCGTGTTTGTGTTGGGAGGGCAAGGCTTTTAAAACATATTACTCAAGCAAGGCACATCTTGATTCCATTTAAGTTGTGGTCAGTTTGCACAACCCTCTGAAACTCTGAGTAAATAGCCACACACTCACACGCTTTGACAGAAAAAAGGTAGAAAGAGGACTTGCTATGACTGCATTTACAGTTTAACACGCGACTATCTTCTCCTCTTGTGTGGTCTTCTGTAACTATCGCTAACATTGTTCTTGGAAAAGTAATTAGAACTCATTGTCATTCTAAAATCAAGCCATTACCGCAGTTTTGAGAGATAACCATGCTTGTACAACTGATCAGAACAGTACAATACATACAAACGCTTCCCAGACATGTGTTTTTTCCTTGGCAGCAGATAGGGGCTACAGTGGGAATAATACAAGTTCAAGTCTGTGACAGTAAAACTTTCCGACAAAACCAAAAGAAAATTCCTTGTGTTATTCTGGGTGAAAAGAACCACCTACTTTGTGGAAATAGGATACAGGACATGAAATGCTGTATTCCAAATGATGCATGTGAGGCTGCCAGAGTGGTGAGTGCCTACACAAATATTTGACACTGATTGCAATGACAAATTTAAATGTATTGTGTAACTTTCAGACACATAAACATAGCGTCCTTCTGTGTGGTAATTAGACTTTTCCTTTTGTAATGGTTGTTGATGTTATGTGCATGTGGCAGAGTGGTTAGCGCTCCTGTTTTGAGATAAGTAGGAGTTTGTGAGTTCGTCTAGTGCCTTTGATCTCTCTGTGGAGTCACCAGGTCTTTCTCACGGTACTGTTCTAGGAATAATGAATTTAGCTGTTGACAGGGTCCTCCACGCCCAAAACCAAGAGTTTCTAGTTACCACCCACACTTTTTTAAATATTGTATGAACCAGCAGAAGAACATGAATATAATGGAGATTAACATGCAGTGATGTTTACAGCCTTTATGTCCTTAGGCGAGACAGTTAACCGGCATTTGTGAAATTGTGAGCGTCAATTAGGGCAGTGCAACTAATCAGATTTTAATTGGAACAACATTCAATACTTTTTTTAATCTTAAGAACTTCACCCAGTCATCTGCATTGATAAAAATTCTGTCTGGTATTAATGAAATATGATATTGGAAGCCATGTTTATTTGTTTTAATGAGAAAAAGTTAAAGAAAAGTGACTTAGCATTACAAAGAAAACAAATCTTGAATAATCTTTTTGCCATATGTAATGTAATGGGGGCCTTCAGTAGTCAATCACTACACATAAATATGACATTTTTTCAATTTAATCTCTATCATTTCTGTGCTAACCCACCTGAGGTATTAGTTGGCTCCACCAGCTGACTTTGGAGACTCTCTGGGGAACACTCGATTTCGCAATCCCCAGATGAGAACTTGTTTGGGCCCTTGTCGTCACAGGAGGGTCCCAGGCTGGTGGGCTCTGGTTTGTCTTGATAAAGATCTCCCGCAAAAGAGGAGGTGATCAGCGGACCCACTGAGCTCACTGCTGATGTTACGCTGTTGTTATTGTCTATGGAAGTAGATTCTAAGCATTTCAGTTTGTATGGCTCTTCTAGTTTTAAGTTGTCCGTTTTTAAGGCTATTTTAGTGTCAGCTTTGGACAGGGGCAGGCAGATTTCAGGGTGAGATGACGAAAGGGATACTACAGATAGAAGTCCAGTCACAAAATCTGTCTTAATCCCTCTATCAGTGTCTTTCTTTCTGTCCTCTCCCTCTGACCCTCCACAGCAGCATGTCCCAAAAGAGCCAGGATCTACGGCCTGGCTACAGTCTTCATTCTCCCCCACCTCCAGAGGCTCTTGCACAGAAGGCACACACCCGCACGAAGCTGTCGGCGCGATCACCATCTCCCCCTCATCCTCCGATACTTCCTCGGGCTCTCCAGACCCCTCACTCAGATCTACAGAGTTGGTCTTCTCCCGAGATGCTTCCCTCTCCATCACCTCCAGTGTGCAGGGGAGGGGGTCTTTGGCAGGGAGAGCGGTGGGGTATAGGGAGTCGTCAGTTGGGGTGAGGGGGACTTGACAGACGAGTTTAGTGGTTTCACATGGATTTGTGCATTTGGGGAGTCCTCCAGTCTCCTAAAATAATACAGAATGTTTTGACTGAATTGTTTTTAAAAAGAAAAATACAACTGAAGCAGACTTAGTATAATGTGGTTCATTGTTTTTCGCTGACCAACTCCGATAGTCCCAATTAACCTTAGTATGGGTCAGGAAGGGCATCTGGGATAGAAGCCATGATTTTGGAAATTAAAGTAAATTGTTGTTGAGTTGTTTACCCTCACATCTTGTACTTCTACCTTGCATAGGATTGTAACAACTCTTAGATATGACTACAAATGTTAACATTTAAAGGTGCATTGTGTAACCTCTCTGGTGAAGGGCCCTTCATATGTTTTTCATCATGGAGATGTTATTGCTTTGTCTGGAATGTGTCACAGTATGGCATTAAACCTTTCTAAACCAAGTTACAGGTCAGATCTGTGGAGAGGCGACCCCGCTCACTGTCAGAATGTATGTTTTTCTAGGTATTTTTGCGCTATAAAACATCTGTAATTGAATAAATGTTAGATAGATTTGTTTATTGTCATACTGTGGAACATTCTAAGCAGAGCAATGACAACCAAAAATTTACATAGTGCACCTTTAAAGGGAGTACATGCATTTAAAATCATTTATATTCTTACTTGTTGGATCCTTGTTCTCTTCAAATTTTGGACACAGGATCGCAGATTTACTGGATACAAGAAAGCAGGCAAAAACATATCAAATAATAAATTGACAAACAAATAAATGCATAAATTCTCAAACACAGTTCATGATATAAAAATACCTGACAGTAGTTTCATCTTGTCTTTGTAGCAGAAGAGAAGGAGGATAAGGAGGCAGAGAACAGTGATCACAGACAGCACTGAAACTATTACCCAGGAAGGAGCTGCACCTGATAGACATGCATGTGTTTTTACTCACAGCCAAATAAAACATGAATTGCACAATAAATTTCAAACACTTTTTAATAGTCTCCGTGAAAGTCTTGATGTCTGGCAGGTGGGTAATTATTTCCTAGTGATTTTGTGCTATTTATTGTTTGTTTCTTGTGTTTTGTGGACAGACTTACTAGACACAGGTGGTCCACACTCTGCATCAGCTTCAGCGGTGCCAGCTTGGATCTCAGTCCTGCCCAGAGCCTTACAACTGCAGTGTGCAATAGAAGAAGTCATTTTTAAGGTAAGTGGTTTGTGATTTTTGACTAAAAATATGAGTAAACATATTGAGCAACTTTCCGCAACTGAATTATGTCATGAAACTATTGTAGTAACTTATTTAGATTATCTCCTAGGCTACACATTTCGTAAGAATAAACTCTGAAATCAAAATATCAATTAGCCAATCACAAAGGCTTTAATGATTTATGTTATGTAATTTCCTCTGCAGAATATCTTATTACTATTGGATCCTATACTATATCAAACCTATTTACTCTGTAGTTTAGATCTCTATAAACATTTGAAACACATGAGATTCTTGTACTGGTTTAGTAGTTCATATTTCACTCATCTATCATAAGTGCACTTTAATGAATCTGATCTAAACTGAATCAAATCTTTAAAAAAATGCTTTTTTTTTCTTCAAAATTGTGCTGTGTTGAATCCTGGTCTCAATATAGGAAGTCGTCTAATATTGCAAGTTAGTGGAAAAATCGCTTATTGACAGTAACAGTGTTTATCAGTGCCTTTGTTCCATGTAAACAGCTGTAAACAGGCACAGATGTGAATCGAGCGATTCTGTCGTTGATCGCAGCCTCAGATCCGGAGTCTAAGACTGGACTTATTTTCAGGGGATGTGGTGTGTGCGTTAGTCACTACAGAGGCAGTCACTAACACAAAAGGCAATATGCATTTGGCCCCATTATGCAAATACCCCTAGGTGTTATAAAAATTTGCTGCAGCACATTGAGCTGGAAAGGTTCTGGAAAAGGTGATGTATTATGATGTGTGATACTTGTGCACTTACTTTGTCCATGGCTTGCACTTATCCTCACTGTCTTCATTGGAGAAGAATCCTTTCTTACAGGGAAGGCAATCCTTCTTTCCGTCAATCATCGTTTCTGAAATATTAAATAATTAAAAGAGTTTAAACTGCTTTATTTGTATACACAGACATATTTCTAGTGTGGCTGTGTTATCTTACCCAGTCCAGACCCAGGGGAGCAGGTGGGGATCACCTCACAGTACTCACAGTTGATTGGAGAGCATCTGAAGTTTGGGCGGCAAGGGCAGGGTTCTTCTGCCACCAGGTTCTGAGGCCTTTGCACAAACCCTTTGCCTGGATGTAAAATTCAGTATAAAGACTTAATGTATAGATCAGATGTGGGATGTTTTGATATCTATGTTGTAGGGATGGGACAAGATTTTTTTCCTCATATTTTTACAATTGTTTTGGATTAAAAAAAAGTTAACTTTGCTGAGCAACTTCTCTTGATGAGATGTAGTTCCAAAAAGCAGTGTTACAATGACAGCAAAACTATAAAACTAAATAAATCAAAAATTGTGTCTCTTTTCTTGTCTACTGTATTGCTGTGGCACTGACCTGGGTCACAGTACTTCTGCGGGGTACAGCTTGTCTTTGTGGTCCAACCCGACTGGTATTCATCAGCGTTACATTTGACACATACAGTGTCTTTGGTCTCTGTGCACTCAAGAAACAGGCGAGTACCTAATGGGAAAAAGTTAGAGCATTTGTAGAATTGTGAAACTCGTGTCATTGTGTCGATCATAACAAAAACAGACCGTTAATGCCCATATAAGGAAATATGTATTGCTTTCTATTCTTTGTTAATAGGCTTACTACAGTTAATAGTCTGTTTTTGGCCAACATGTTGAACTTCCTCATATGCCTTTCAGGATAGAATTATTTCTAGTGCATGTGTAATCCTTGTGGCAAAATGTCAAAAGTGAGTGTGCGTCACGTTTAGGGACTGACAGCATTTTGAACTTTTACCTGGTCCACACTTGCTGCAGCATCTGGACTCCATTGGATATTGGTCATTCTTACATGTTGCTTTGGACTCTCCCATCTAGACAGACAAGAGAAAGAAACCATGTCAGTCAATACTGTCAGCTTAAAGTAAAGCAGGTTTTAACTTTAGTTTAGTTAAAAGCTAGTGACATTAATGATTCATATTTTAAACAAATCAAGAAAGGTACCAAAAGGTGAGCTGCGCAATCACAATCTAAAGAGTCTCTCAACTGTTCTACTCTTAGCCACATGCGCTGAGCAAGCCAACGTTAATGTTATGACAAAACTTAGCCAAAGCCACAGAGGCTAAATATACATATAGAAAATACTGACCCACTACTTTTTCTTATGTAGTTCTATCAATCTCTGAATTTCACACAGACTCTATAATTTTTATTAAATTTTTTTAATTCTGAAAAACTATACTATAATAGTTACACAAACTTAGCAAGTAATTGGTGCAAAAGCCATTAACATTTATGTAATTGCACACTGTATGTTCAGTTTCACAGCCAACACACAGCCAGTAAAAAAATATATATAACATGTAAAGTATATGTTTCTTTATAAATCCACCCTCTAACTATTTATAACTATATTAACTCAACATTTCACGTATTTTGAAGTAAAATGCGATATCATAATATATCGTTTCAAAGTATTTTTTTTTTCATCTTAAAACATATCTGACTTCCCACCTTTGTAGCTTAATTGTGTGTCCTGTGTTGCTTTAACTATATTTGGAGCATTTTCTCACAACATCACAACTGCAGCTCTGGCTTTTAATTAGGCTCATTTAGTTTTACAGCAAACCACTCTCATAATAAAGCAGAGGGATAATGATGCAGATCTCAGGCCTGGCCACAGCTTTAATGAGATCCATGTGTTTGCACAGACAAAGTGACAAAACTACACAACAACGACTTTTTTCAACAGAATGAAGCGGTTGATTGTCTAAGTGGACAAACGTTCACAGCAAGCCAAAGGAATGCTGGGAATTGTAGTTTTGACCACCAGATCTAAACATTCAGTCCCAGTTATGCACAGCGGTGTATTTTTCCTCACTAAATATATAAGGCAGAGGAAAAGAAGCGATCCACCCTATATGATTACAGGTTTACACAGATTTTAAGATAGAACTTCTAACCTCAGTGTCATATACTGTGTGTGCATTTGAATAGTGGTGATTATTATGTACGATAAGAGAGGAAGCGACTTCAAATTAAAGCAACATATTAAAATTTTGTTCTGTGTATGTTGGCCAAAATGCATCAATAATTATATGCAAATGTAGTAATAGTATTTATGAGTGACACAGTAGTAATTATATGGAAGAATAAAAGAATAGACTGCAATTCAAAGGTTTATATTTTTATTTAAGTATTTCTATATTGAAACATTGTTCTACTCATTAAATTTAAGTATTTTGATTATTTGTGGTTTGTTTTATGTTTACATAATTTGGAAAAAAGGTAAATTATCATCACATTTAAGTAAAAACTAATTAAATTGGCTTCATCCTAATTTATAAATTTCTGCTCCAGTAATAGTGCATCTTTCTAAAATTAGTTAGCCTTGACACAAAAGCAGAAGTAGCAGATATCTGTTGTTGAGTTTGTGTTAATAATTTCTATGTTTTTTTTTTTGTTTATGTGCAGCTTGACTGATCTTATCTAACAGGAATCTTATGCCGAATACATTCCTCTCTGTGTCAGGGTACACCATGTTTTGCATAACTGCCACAGCCACTGGCGCCCAATCAAAAAGAGCAGCTCTGTGCCTTTTCACCCTCTAGGGATTCTAGTGATAATTTGTGATAAGGTCTCAAAACTATTGCACAACAACTGGATCTTTGTTTTATGTTTGCATGTGTGACAGTAGCTATATAGTATGGGACAAAAAACAAGAGGGAAAAAATGAGGAGCATATAGATAGTATAGATCTCCTCAAAGGCATCCTATCTCGCAATGGTAAGATTAAGGGTTCCACCTCACCCGCCCGGAGGTTCATGCTTATTTCATTGAACCACAAATCATTATAGATTACGTGGAAAATAATCAACAAACCCTAAAGCAGTTTAGATTTAAATTACATAACAATACAAAATAGAAAACGTTTGTTAAACACTCTTTATTAAAAGTGCAATATGTAACTTTTCTAGTGCAGCATGTGCAACTTGCCTAGTATTTTCCACAGTATGGCATTAAGCTTGTGTATGGAGACAAGCAGGTGGCATAACTTCAATTGCAAAAGTTACTTAAAAAAGGTGCACTATGTAACTTTTTGGTTGGGTGTCTGTCACCTGTTTGTTTCACCTGTTTGTTTCTATGGATATGTCATTGCTCTGCCTGGAATGTTCCATAATATGACATTAAACATTTCCACCTTACATTTATTAAATTATAGGTAGTTTTATAGGTCTTTATAGCTCAAAAATACCTAAAAAAAAAAAACAGGCATTCTGACTATGAGTTGCTTCTCCACACATCTGACCTGTAATTTGGTCTGGTTTGGTCTCCATGGAGATAGAAAAGTTTAATACCGTACTGTGAAGCAATAGCATCTCCATGGAGAAAATGATTTGACAGACCCCCACCAGAAAAGTTACACAATGCATCTTTAAAGCACCGTTAACAGCATATCCCCTTTGATTTCGCAGGATTACGTAAGAAACATGGAGATGAATAGATGGATAATACACGGATTGACAGAGAGGCTGTGAAAGCATGCAACATTAAGCGTGGGTAAGAAGGAATGCAGTCCAAGTCAAACACAGGAAGTAGTGGAGACAGAAATGTAAGTCAATTTAACAAATCCCAATTCATTTACGATTCACTGACTTTTACTCTCCTGGACATCTTGAAGTCATCTACTTTTGCCTAATGTCACCCAGACAGCTAGAAATTAATTTTGGAGCAAACTGGAGCACGGTGGTTGGATGAAAACATGAAGGGGAATTCTTTCAGGGATGCTCTGAGTCAGAACTGGCAAAATCATGGCCAGAGAGAGAGACATACACACATGGAGAAAGAGTAAGAGAAAAAGAGTCCAAAGATTGCAGTTTGCAATGTCATCTGGGAATGGACACTTAATCTTTTGGAAGCATTCACTTGTTTTCTAGCAGTAATTGTTTGGAAACAAATTTATTACTACTGACTGAAAGGACCTCATTCAGAAACAGGACTATTATGGCTTTATAGTACTTTCGGGGGGAAAGTTTAGCCCCTTAATAGACCTGGTTTAGTCTTCAATTAAATGCAATCCTCTTGAAGTCCTCTGCAAGCCAGTCTTGGAGACCTAGTTTGTATTAGTCATGGTTTAGTCCTTGTTTAGTCCAGACCTTTAGTGCCAGTTTTGTCCCAGTTTTAATGTGATGTGTATGGAAGTTTGAATGCATATCCATTAGATCTGCTTTAGCGGTGGTTTTGATTTTAATTTGGTTGTGTAGTCTGGGCTACTTTAGTCCTGGTTTAGTCCTGGCTAATCTCTCATTTAGTCCTGGTTTAGTCTAAGTTAAGACCAATTTTATCCCTACTTGCCCTGTAGTTTTACTTAGTCCAGGTTTAGTCAAAGTCAAAATTCGCTATAGTCCTGTTACAGTTCTAGTTTTAGTTCTGGTATATTTCCTAAGTTTGAGAATCACTGGCGCAATTGTAAGCCATAACTAAAACGCCTTTCGGTAACAGGGCTAAGCAAACAGGCAGTGATGGATGCCTGGTGCCCAACAGTCCCACCACCACAACCACAACTTGTAAACGGCTCCACCTGGACAGAGTTAGCTCCCGGGAATACACAACATTACGGACAATAACACGTCATGGACCATTCACTTTTCCCTTTCAAATAAAATCCATATCAGCTTCACAAATTACTGTAACTAATGTTTACCAAGACACATTACGTCAATAAGTTTAGTTTTGTGTTTTGTTTTTGGTTGTTACATTGTCACTTTGGGTAAACGATGTGAGGGGCTTGATGGGGCATTTGGGCATCTCTGGTCACCAGTTGGAAGTGGATGCAATGTTGGTGGTTAAAATAGAAGAATGACACTTTTCTGTGGTGAGATTTGGATAGGTTAACCCAAACAAAACTAGTCTCAAATCTCAACCACTGCACACAAATGAACTGGCATGCATTATAGTCCTGCCAGGGCTGTCTTAAAATACTATGAGCCTACTAAAACAATGCAGTCCCTTACATTTTAAGCATTTTAAATTGCCAATCTTGTCTCATTGTATATTGTCTCTTTGTAAATCTGCATAAATAATATATATACTTCATTATGCAAAACAGTGCAAACAAAACTAAAATAAATTATAGTCTGAAATGTCATGGCATGTATTTGTATATGAAACAACAAGTAAAAACATTCCCATACCTTGGCATTCACTAGCAGAAGTAGGCAGACTATCCATCCTCTGAAAATCCAACTTGTGAACAACTTCAACTTCATCTTTGCAATTTATGCAATCTCACCAATATTACACTAGAGCGGTCTGTGATTTCCTCCCATATATTTGTCTAAATCACTTCTTCTGACCTCCACACCATCTCATTGTGCTACAGGCTCCTCTACTGCCGGAGACCCCACCTCGGCTGTGCGGTCATCTCCCCTCTGCTCTCACCCACGCGTGTGTGAAGGAACGGCGTGCAACAGCTTGTAAAATCTGAGTGAGGAGTAAAGAGGAAGGGCCCGGCTCCTCCCACTATGTAAAGGCAAGAGACTGTTAAACCCTCCCTTTGGCTGCATGCTTTGGGAGTCACTTCCACTGAATGTGCAGTGCAATCTGATATAGTACTGCAGATGTTTGTCCAGGTGTGAAAATACTGACAACTGATGTTATTTTAATAATTATTTTTGACAGTAATTGGTTAAAATATAAGGTAAACCTGATAAATCTGGAGTGTTTTATGTGGTCCTGTAAGAGTGTGAGATACCATTTTTATTCACTAAAAGGATCACAAATGATTGTTATAGATGAAAACTATTTGTGACTTAGGAGGATTAGGTCACTTTTTTGCTTGTCACTTTTGGGGGTGTTTTCCTAGAATATCCCAGTATATGGCATTAAGATGATCTCTCTTGCATTTATTCACTTGTGTTTTTTAGTTTCTAGAATACCATAAAAAACATGCATTCTTACTCAGTGTGGGATCATTTCACCTCAGATATGCAAGCAGGTGGCATCACCTGCTTGTCTTCATGGAGATAGATAGGTTTAATGCCATATAACTGAACATTTTAAGCAAAGCAATAGCATCTCCATGGTGACAATCAGGTGGTGGACTCGCAGTGCACCTTTTTTTAACTTGATATTTCCAGTTTGGTCACTGTAGCATTATGCTCCTAATAGAGATTACCCAGTGACCTCACTACTTTGTAAAAGGCAAATTTGTGCTGACTTTCCAATATTTACATGTTTAAGTTTACTATTTGATTATGGAACTATGTGACTTAAAAAAAAAAGTAAAAAACATGAGCTGCCTCCAGGAAATAGTTGCTCCCAGAGAGATTATTATAGAACCTGCCAAGAGGGGTGGATTTACCACTGAATTTGCATGGCATTAAGCCTCTCCCACTTTGGAGCTCCATATTTGGGAAAAGCTTTTTCTGCTTTCTTTTCAAAATGACAGTTATGCAAATTTTGTTCAGCCCAGGTGAAAACGCAGAGGAATGTTTTGTACAAATGACAAATGAGAAGCAAGCAAGGAAACATGCAAAATGAATGGAGTCTTTGCAACAGCTTTTGTAAACAAGACTGTAGGAAAGTAAAAAAGTGTTGATTTTATGACATGTAAACAAGTACTGGATGTGTACTTAGTGGATATTGGCTGTATGTAAGATTTGCAATACTTACTGCTTGTAGTCCTGGTTTCAGCATGATTCTTAGGCTTAGGTTAGTTTAATATGGTTTAATCCTTGTGTAGTACTAGTTTAGACCTGTTTAGTATGATCACTGTTGGCTGTGGAGGGGTGGGAGTGAGGCAGTTTTAATTGTCTATGTAAAGCACTTTGGGTTACATGCTTTGTATGGAAAGTGCGGAAAGTGCTCTATAAATACAGTTTGATTTGATGCTTTGAACCTTTTCCTTCTTGGATATGATTTAATGCAGTTTTAGGTTTAAGGTCCTATATTACACAAAATTTATTCTTGTGAGCTTTAAGCCATGTTAAAATGCTGCAACCTCCTCAAAAACATACCAGGAGTTGTGTTTTGTTTCATTCACACATGTCTGAGTAACCCTTTATTATTAGTTTGTCTGCTTCTCCTGAGCTTAAAATGCTCTGTTTCACCTGTCATGTAGTGATAGTTTTCAAGATAACAGCTACCTGTTATGTTCAGTTCATTGGAGCCTGGTGATTCCAGAGCTGAAATCATCTAAATGTTTCTAGTAAAGGTGTGTGGAGTTTAAAAACATCATGGAGCACGTCATGTATTACCACATGACATCACATGGAACAGAGTGTTTCCATTTGAGAGAAGAACTCAGCCCAAATATGTACGGTTTGTGTGTTGAACATGTGTGTGAATGAAACAAAACACAATTCTGGGTATGTTTCTGATAATGAAACAACATTAAAACATAGATCAGAAAATAGTGTAATATGGGCCCTTTAAGAACCTTGTTTAGTCCTGGTCTTAAAGTCCTATCTTAGACCTGCCATAGTCCTGTTATATGGACCCATTATGGTATAGTTAATGTCTGTGAGTTTTAAAAAAAAAAGTTAAATGCATTTTTAAAGAGCAAACGCTGGAATATTTTCTGTGGTCTTCTACGTGTTCCCATAAAAACGTGCTGAGGGAAGCTGCTTTGTGGTAGGGGCCTCCAGATTTTCACAGTAGCAATTAAGTGCCAGTTTGGACGGTTTTAGTGCAGCTGTGGCTTGACTCAATCAGGCTTTCACCGACCACGTGGAGGTCAAGTAAACTCACCTTAAACAGACACAAGTAGCTAAGGGCTGTACTTCAAACAGAACTCTTACGATGCAGTAGGTTCAGAAGTGAAAAAATGTGAATGGGCCAACTGCTTGACATCATGCTGCTTTACAAGAGTCGCACTAGAGCTGACCTGTGTTTGACTTGTGCTTTGTAGTGAGTGGGCTGTGTTGCTAAACGTGACAGGTCAAAGTTCACCAAAGAGGCTGAGTCCTGACAAGTCATGTGCCAAAAAGGAGAACACTTTGAATGGTCACAGTTTTTTTTTAGTAAACAAAAGGAGAGTTAGGCAAATATTCTTACTGAAATAATTTAATTTTATTTCAGTGTACTTTTATTTAAAATATGTAGGAATTGTTTCTACAGTTAAAGTAGTAATATTAGTTGCATGAAACAGTAGTAGTATTAACAAAAGTCATATTAATAGTAATGTAAGTAGGTACCAGTCAATCAGTATTACTTTATTTAGCCCCGAGGGGCACGCTTTGTCAGTAATAATAAGTAGCAGTACTGGAGGAGACAAAAGAGACGTTAACCACTCATTACATGGTTGGCAGTTTGATTTGAGTTCGACACTCAAATCCAGAAAAACATAAACATTAACTAAACAAGGGAGGGACTGGAATGGCATCAGGGTTAAAATATACCATGGCATGTTTGTTATTGAAATCCTGTGGGCAACAAAAAGAAAGAAAAACAGTCCTATTAAAAGAAGCAGTAGTAAAATTATTGGAATTCCCATGAATTTACAAAATTACTGTAAGTGCATTTTTACATTTACCTCTTTTTGAGTAACATTGTTTTGAATCACTATTAAGAAAGACTTGCCACTGACTTTTTCTTTGGCACATTGACAGGGGGAAACTGGAAGCTTCAGGAGTTAGGACCTATTTCCCTTAAACCCTCTCTCTCTCTCTCTCTGTCTCTCACCCCCTCACAGTGGAATAAAAAGGTTAGCCTGAGCCACCATGTTCCGGTGGTTTGTAGCCTGGATCTGCGTTGCTTCTGCTTGCTTTGGAAACAGATGTGATCTGTGAGTCACCGGGTCACTCTGCTGTGAATAAAGAGCTCCTGGTACATGAAACGCCATCGATTCCCACACGACTTGAGACGTTCCGTTACAGTGCATGCAGGTAGCCACACAGGCACTGGCAGACGCAGTAACAACAATACCAGCATGCAAGTGTCATTTTTCCCATAAACTTTCATAATATATAAATACATAAATAATAATCATGATCATAATAATTATAATGAAAATCTTGATGGGGGGAGTAATCAGATATGTGGTAGCTAATGATCACAAGGTTTACAATTTTATTAAAATGTTATATTTAATATGGTATTATCTGGTCTGGAATATTCCACAGTACGGCATTAAATATATCCATCTGGCTTTACTGTTGCTTCGCACAACTGGACCATCAGAAGTTTTATTCCAGTAAGCGGAAACAATAGTTCTTGAGCACTAGGCCATTCTACACACCTCAGTCCCTGCACACTGTGAGGCATATCAATCATTATTTACCCACCTGGAGATATCAACTACAGTGGTTGAATATTAGCAGAATATGCAAATTTTTACTTCTTATCAAAGGGGTGTTAACTTAACTATCTGGAGACACTGAATGAACACAGTACCACAGGGCTTTTGACCCAATTCATATACAATACACAATACAAATCAGTGTCAGTTATCAGTAGCCTTTAACACATTCAGTCTTTCTCTAGTCATAGTCAAGTCCAGGTTTAGTCCCAGGGTTACTCTTAATCTCTCTGTGAGCAAGTGTAAACAATAAGATGTATGAAATATAAAGTTTGGAAGCCTGCATTATTTGGACGTAAGGCACATTTCAAAGATAGAAGTATTTTTGTTGTTGAATCAATTATCAAAATACCTCCCCCCAAAAAAGTGAGTTTTTTTTTTTTATGCCTACAATTGGAAAAATATAACAGATAGTAAATGCTAGGAACATGAATGCCAATTTCTCCTGTAATATTTTGCTCTTATTGCATGCATACACTCAAGTTTATCATGTCTCCACTGCTTGATAGTATAATCTCTAACACAGATCTACTCTTTTATTTTATATGGGATAAGAACCTGGGAATGCCCCACAAAATGGACTTTGGTAGGTGGTTGTATTGCGTAGTAGACAATGGACTACTTCAAAGAGTTCCAAGGGGTTGGGTGAGTGTTTGTCTGTGAGATGGCTTTGTTTTACTGCTCATAGCACCTGTCCACACTTTGAACAATAATCAATCTGGCGTGCGCGCTCTCTCTCTCTTTATGACTTCACTGCTCGGGTATGCAGACGCGCTCATAAAACGTAAACATTTTTGAGTACACAATTGATTTTTTTATTACAGCGCGACACCAATTTCAAATATACATAATAATGAGTACCTTCATTTCAGTGTATGATACAAGTATTTACTGTTTCTCTCTCTTATTAAAAAAAAATGAAAACAAAACATGAGACCCCACTTTAGAAAATACGATTATCGATAGACACTGCAACACATACAGACAAGGTGCAACAAAGAGATCAAAGATTTCTCCAGCAGCTTCACATTAACCACAAAATAATAATTAACAGTAGTGATGTTGTCGGCCATGTATAAGACTGCATTAAAACATAGAATATATTTTAAACAAAACAGCAGTGAAGTGCAAGTTTCTTTGGAAGTTAAAGTATGTTTTCTTCATTTAAGACATAAATAAGTTATAAAATAGAAGCTATCAAAACAAAAAACAAACTTTGAAGAAATAAAGGCAAGACATACATTTTTATAGTTTCAAGTAGGCGATACATTGGAGCCGTACAGACTAACTGTACACATAGGCCGATTTTAGACTGTTTTGTTGTCCCATCTTAACTCAA